GAGAAGCTGAGCAAGGAGCTAAATTAAGGGGATCTTGAAAGATGATTGGCTTTAGCGAAGGTGTGGCCCCTCAAGTTGATTGGCCGGAGCTGAGCGAGGGGCATCGCAGGTGGTTCATGTGAATCTGATAAGAATCTTAGAGATGGAGTTTTTGCTTAAGCTAAATATCCATAAGGGTCCTGACTTCATTATTAGGTATTATCATTTAATCAAAGGCTTGAAGGCGTGAGTTGGGGCTCATCTTTGATGGAGTCTCTTGGAACTGTGAATTTGTGAATCTGTTAATTCAAAGTGGTGTCTAGATACCATTACTCTAAAAATGGATTGGTAGAAATATTCCTAAATTAAGGTGACATTTGACAAACACTGTTATAGTTCTAATACTAAACACATTCTTTTTATCCTATCCATCCCGTAAAAATACTTGGTAGCTTATTTGACACATGTTCGGTTCTTCATAGAACTATTGTTATCTCCTCACACATTGCAACTTTTGGAGTCACTAAAGAATTTACCCATCTCTCTTCTTAAGGGCTGGTTATACTCCTGCAGTAGTGTGTCGCAGTGAGCTTGTTGCAGATATTTTTGGATGTATGCCAAATATTGAAGCGTGGTCTGCGGAATGCTATTCCATGCCAAAACGCAGGAGGGACAATCAAGAACTAGCTGTGTGTCTCGATACATCCGAGGCGATGAGGAAGTGGGGGCAGGTTTGTATGACATGAGGGCGAAAAAGAGTGGGATCCGGGTGGAAAAAATGGTCCCAACGCCATCGCTCTTATAGCTGGTCTCATGATTTTATCTAAGGCTCGGACCCACATGCAGTGAAGCCAAACAGAGAGACACCGAGTAAAAGTTCAACGGGTTTTATTGAAATGTATTTTGAGTTCGGTGCAGAGTTCCTCCGAACTCTGCTCAGCCGGGAACTGGGAGACGAGGGGAAGACAGACTGTTAGATTCAGGCTCAGTGGGAAATTGGAGTTGTTAATCTTGAAGGAGAGGATTTGTTGCCACTCATGTTTCCAGAGAAGAAGAGACACTTTGACTCCAGTCTGTGTGTTGGTCTTCCAGAGTTTGTTTGATTCGGTGGAGGGCGGAACAGGGTTTACCCAGGACTCGGAAGGAATGGAATGATGCAGCCGCTGGTTGCAACTCAGGTTTTCCTGTGGTACTTGAACGGGGTCATGGTGAAGATGTCTTCCTGACTCAGAGAGTGATCTTAGCGTCTTCAAAGTTGGGTGGATCCAAACCTCCTGTTTGGAATCCGTTGCTCAGTGTAAGACTCAGTTGATCCCACTTGGGTGAAGGCGGTCCGGAAAGGTCCAGTCTGCAGGAAGGCTTCCTGCCGTAAGGCAACAAACAAACAGAGTTGAATCTCAGGGAGACAAGCACTAAGACAAACTCAATTTGATCTCAACTTGGCTAGAGTACAAAAACTCAGAATGCAAAAACTCAGATTAGGCTCAGAATAAACAAGGCTTGGCTAGAGTACCCCAAACTGGCAAACACTCTGGCGTCGAGGTAGTGGCAACCAGCAGCTTAAGAACAGTCTGGTGATGAGGTAACCGTTCGCAGGTGTGTGAGGAGGCGGACCAGAGCCAGGTGCCTCCTGGTGGTGGAAGGGAGAACACAAAGACAAGACAGACAGACAACACAGAAACTGGAGTCCTGACAGCTGGTCCAACTTCACGAGTCATTTTCCGCAATGGCAGTCATGCAAACAAAACAAGGTGGTAAGGTACCAAACAGGGAATACGCATAGTGTAGAGCGGATGTAGATTTAACCAATCAGAGGCCCTCTGTCTGGTGCAGCAGAGTGTCTGCGACAGGGGTGGAGGCACATTTGCTTTCACTGCGAGTATAAATCAGCCTTTAGTCACCAATTTTCAGCACATTAATGAATGAAATACATAATTTGCAGAGTAGGACTAGGTCTTGTTAGATATTAAAACAATTAAATAATTTGTAGTTTGTTGTATTTTATTTTATCACTCAATTTGTATTGGATTTTATGTCATGTTTACAGTGATTTTTTTTCTATTCACATAATTTAGATTATACACTGGTTTGATAACTTATTAGCATGGGCTTCATTCGGCTTGATTTGGAAGCATCAGGGAAATGAAGTAGTTCACAAGAGGCAGGGGAAATCAGTGAGGAAAAGCTTTCAATATTGAATGAAAGCAAACAGCTTACTAAGCTAAAGTAGAATCGAGGTGGAAGCATGGGGATTGGTGAGTGACCTGCAGAAGACTTCGGAAATGTATTGATGAAGATCAATGCTTCTTGCAGGGAATGACTAGAGATCTGGAATAGGAGAAGGTTATTGTCATTACACTGTCACAAGTACACAGCAATGAAATAAACTCTCTGCATTTAACCCATCCCCTTGGGGAGCAGTATGCTGCCATTGCGCTGTGAGTGAGGAGCAGTGTGGGGTTAAGGGTCTTTGCTCAGGGAACCAGAGTGGCAGTCTATGGGATTGGGGCTCAAACTCAGAAAAGAGAAGTCCTCTAATCTTAAAAGGTCTTGCTCTATTGTTATTTTTCTATCAATATCTCCATTGTTGAGAGGACTTTATAAAAAGACTCTCAAAGATGTATTTGTTGTTAAATGAAAATAAGTAATGAAACCCCAAATGTTGCATCTGCAGTTTTACTAACAGTTTTATTTTCAAGAATTAGTATTCTCTTTCATACAACAGTTCAATCATATTGCCACAATGACAGGCCTTTATACAGCTACCTGTGAGAATGAAAATGATTCTGTTCACATATGAGCTGTCATAAATGAAGCTAGCACTACAAAGCCACAGGAGGCATGGAACAAACTTAACACCGTTGATACTAAATGTTCTATTAGTTGTGAGACAATTTCCTTTGTAACGGGTACACCTCAATAGTGAGTGTTATTGTCGTTTGGTTGTTTTGGTTTTTTTTGTCTTCACCTTTAACATTAGAGTGGAAACTATCCAGTGATCTGTTCTGTCTCAGTGTTTTTCATCGTGACCCATTCAATGTGTGTTAATGGTGCAGAATGACATCCATCAAGTACTGTAAGCACACCAAATCAATGCTCACAGAGTATTTTCATTCTGAATTCTGTAGGTGGCTTGTTGGTCCGACTGCCTTTCACTGTTATTTCACGCTCTTCTGCTGCAGAGTTGGCTTAGCCTTGCTGCAGGGGGACTACCTCTACTTTGCTTGGCAGCTCAAGGCATAACAGCTGCAGGGTGACTTCAACCTTTGTTGGATTAGTCCTTTCAGAAATGACACAGAGATGGTCAAAAGTCCCAGTGCAATATATAAGAGAGAATGAGCTCTAAACCCCTATTCATCCTCAATATCTCTCTCTTGTCTTTTCTGGTTTAAAATAATGTAGCCCTTTTATATTAATTATTTGTTTCTGAACTGAAAAATAATGTATAGTTTAAAACGTTGCACACTGCAAAAGGCTCTGAATGGGATTATTTTGAAAAAGGTCATTCTCTCGAGCACAACCACTGACAAGGTGAGATTTATGAGTGGAACACAATAAATACCATGAAAACTACCTATATTCCTCATAAATCACAAAAGGGTAATCTGTAATAGAGCATTGTTATTTATTGCCTGGAAAACTTCACTGCCCAGAACTGCTGTTTTATCATCAATTTAAAATGAAAAATGCTCCCAAGTAACTCAGAAATACCGTTGTACTATTACTTCCAGTGTCAAAGTGATCTTTTAGAACTAGCTGCATAGCCCTGTGTAAACTAAACTATATATAATTAAAATGTGGTGGAAAAAAAAACATTGTTTTTTGGTAGAAAGACTGTCACCTTGAAGTTTTTTTTTAAGTCTTTTATAGAGAATTTACATAATCAGTTATCTTGCACGGTCAGTGGTTTCCTTACATGGTAAAACAACAATTGAGGAGGACTCACTTTTCTGACACTGCCCATGTTTAATTATATCTTCAAGATGCTATTATGAGAACACCATCTGTCACACCTCCCAGAGTCTGCGGGACTGTCTAGTGTTAATTCACCATTATGATGTTTTGCTAAGGCTAAAGCTACACATCCAAAGAAACTGAGGGTCTATCTTCAAGCAATTTACAAGACAAGAAGTTTATATAAATAAAAATTGTCCAGTAAGTAATATGGACACATTCAGCTTAAATTTGATACATTATAATTAGACACTATTATTAAAAAAATAAAGTCACATTCAATAGTTAAGAGTTAGACAACTTTTATTGTCATTTTATATACACAGCGTATAAATGAAATTTCTTTTTGTAGACCTTTCAGAACATTTCCAATCAGTGTAGTAGTGATATGCATTGATATGGAAGTCAAGAGCATTAAATATATATGTTGCAAATATGCAGTATTTTGGTTTAGTATTATCAGTGTGGTGCACAGTCTGTGACATGATTTAAGGTTATCTCAACAGTTCAGCTGTTTGATGGCGGTTTTTTGGCTGTTTTGGAATCTGCTGGACCTGCATCAAAAGCTACGAAGCCTCTACCCAGAGGGCAGCAAGGAGAACAGTCCATGGTGGAGGTGTGAGGGATCATTGATGATTTTACAGGCTTGGAACGCACAACTTTGGGATGAAATGTCTTTAATGGAGGGAAGATGACTCTCTGCCGTTCTCACCACTCTCCTCACCTTCTTCCAGTCTGAGGCACTGCAGCCTCCATACAGTAAGACAGGGGGTCAGAACGCTTTTTATGGTGCTTCTGTAGAAGGTTGTGAGGATGGGTGGAGGCAGGTAGGCTCTCCTTATCCTCCGCAAGAAGTATGAGCTTCTGCGCCCTTTTGCTCAGTGAGGTGGTGTTTACAGTCCAGATGAGGTTGTCTGTGATGTGCACCTCCAGGAATTTGGTGCTGCTGACCACCTCTACAGCTGAGCTGTTGATGGCCAGTGGAGCATGGTAAGGCCGATTCATCCTGAAGTTGATCTCGATGATCTCCTTCAAGAAAATTCAAGATCAAGCTGTTATCTCTGTACCAGTCCACCTGCTGCACCACCTCCTCTCTGTAGTCCTGGTTGTTGTTGTCTCTAATGAGGCTGACCACTGTGCTGTTGTCTGCAAACTTCACGGTGTGATTGGTGGTGAACCTGGGGACGCAGTCGTGTGTCATCAGGGTGAGCAGCAGGGGGCTCAGGACACAGGGGAGCCTGTGCTTAGGGTGATGACATCAGAGGTGTTCTGTCTGACCCGGACTCACTGAGGTCAGTTTGTGAGGAAGTCTAGCCGCTAGTTGCAGAGGGGTGCATTGAAGCCCAACTGTTCCAGTTTTTCTATCAGATGCTGTGGGATGATAGTGTTGAAAGCTGAACTGAAGTCCAGGAACAGCAGAAGTTCTCCGCCAGGTTTGCTAGGCTCAGGTGAAGAGCACGGGAGATAGCATCCTCAGTGGAGTGGTTCGATTGGTAGGTAAACTGGAATGGGTCGAATGTTGTGGAGATAGTGGAGATGATGTGTTCTTTAACCAGCCTTTCGAAGCACTTCATCATGAAGAGAATCAGTCTGACAGTGTTGTTTTTGACAGCCATCTTAGATTTAGTCTTAGTCTTCAGGGCGAAAAATATTATCAGACTTAGTCGCATTTTAGTCATCACGATATGTGATAGTTTTAGTCCGTTTTAGTCAGGTTAAACTCAAAAGGGTTTTAGTCTACTTTTAGTCAGTTTTATGTTACAAATAGAAGTTAACCTTTACAATGTCGAATAACAACCAGATTCTACTACAATAGCTGGGTTTACAGTGCTACCGTGCAATTCATCATTGCTGTTGGGCAGAAAACTTTGATTTATAGAATTCGAATAAACTTTTTTTTTTATGAATTAATGCTCTACTTTATAAAAAAGTGTCTCACAAAATTTGTGAATAAAGAACATCTAGTTCAACACATTATATTGGTTAGTAAAACAGACAAGCTGACAAAATCTAAAATAAAGGAATGGTTTTAGACATACAATGTTTCCATTGTAAAGCAAACTCTTTCTATAAATTATGCATTACACTCAGATTATTGCTAAAAAAAAAAAGCAAATAGAAAAGCATTCTTCTTTCTACTTTGGCAATTTTGGCTTTATTTCTTCAATTTGCCCCATATTTACCACTGATCAGGGGTCATATGAGATTTAAATTCATAGGGGTTTAGTATAAAATAAATACAGATCTAACCTACATAATTGCCTTGTAATGCCATCGCAATCCTGACCTCAATTGAATGAATATGCTAACTAAAATGTTGAAATATTTCAAGGAAACAGAATAAATAGAATAAATAGATTTAAATAGATAGAAAAAAGAACAATAATAAAGAAATTATCAAAAACTTATATACCTTTTCATCTGGCTCGTTATCCAAAAATAGAATTCAATGAAATATTTTATTTTTATATGATTTAGAGATTCCTTTTTTTTAAAATTAAATCATGTTTAGTATCACCTATTGTGAGCTAGAGGAAATAAAATCTTGATAGTTAGAAAAAAGTAGATTTTTATGCTTGGCAAAGGATAATCAGCAACATAGTTTATTAAGTAGTGAGAGCAGGAAGAGTCACACTGCTGAGAACCGTCAGATTGGAGTGTGAAGCGCAGACTTGAAGCTCCATGCGGGAAGAGACACATTTCTGCACAAGCACAGAGGGAAGATCAGAGCAGAGTTGAGCTCGCAGTACCTGACAATTCTGGGTTATTTTCTCAGACCCTGCCACTGCTGCCATGATCCATCTGTGCTCCTGCAGCATGTGCAACACTGCGACGCAGGTGGTCAGCAGGATCAAACAAGACGCAGCAGTACCGCTGATACTGCTTAGCACATTACAGAAAAATAATGCATTTTTAATGTTTGACTGATGACCCCCTAATTGTTATTTAGTCTCGTCCCATTGACTTGAACTCAAACCTATGACTAGTGATCTTTTAGTCATCAAAGATCCATGTTTAGCTCGTCAGTTGTCATTAAAAAAAGGGGCGTCAACGAAATGATTTCGTCATAATTGTTGACGAAAACAACATTAAATGAGGCAGGCATCCCCAAACTCAGTCCTCAAGGCCCTCTGTCCTGCAGGTTTTAGAGGTTTCCTTGCTCCAGCACAGCTGATTTTAATTGAAAGCTGATTAACAGGCTTTTGGTATACTGCAATCATTATAACCAGCTGTGCTGAAGCAGAGAAACCTCTAAAACCTGCAGGACAGGGGGCCTTGAGGACCGAGTTTGGGAATGCCTCAAATGAGGTAACCTGAGGCTTCTTTGGGATGGTGGCAGACTTAAAGCATGCTGGCACTATGGATTGGTCCAGTGAGGTGATAAAAATGTCTGTGAGGACACCAGCCAGCTGACCTGCACACTCCTTGAACACCAGCCCAGGTATGTTATCGGGTTCAAAGCACGGTTCAGAGCCTCTCTATCACCAGACTAGAAAGCTGAGGTCCGTGCTGTATCAATTTCCGAACCTCCCCATTCATCTACAGTCGTTGGTTGGCCCAGGTGGTGATGTTCGGCATTCTCTTCGGTGTGGCCTGCTTTATAAGCCCGCTGCTGTCTTTTCATCCGTCCGAAGCACTCCACAGTGCTTGTTAATTACATGGTGCTCTTCCCTTATATAGCAATTCCTGAAAATGAAAATAAAACATTCCAGTGTAAACAGGTATTATTCTTTGAGCATCAGAGCTTTAAAGGAAAAGTCACTTCAATGGTAAGCAACATAAGGAAAAAAAAAACGTCAAAATAAAAAGAGATTGCATCTCAAACACCCATTAATTTGCCTCAGAAACCAAGTCGAAACAGTCACAGCTGAAACAAATTATCAAAGCTAAAAATGGTGGAGATATCTGAGAGATTTTTACTGGAAGAGGTCTCATAAAAAGTCCAACCTGCTTCAAAAGAAAGCATTTCTCATATACGTTATGCATACACATAACATCTGAGATCACCCATTAAATTTGGACATGTACTTCCTGCTCAAGCTATCTGTCAAACCAGTGGCATTAACTTTCTATTATTTTCCTCTTCCTTCAGGTTCGGTTTTGTTACCTTCAATGCAATATAATAATCGCTGCATTATCCTGGGGCAAAGAGTATTTCCAAAGGAGGATGTGGTTAATGAAAATAGTAGTCACCTTGGGTTAAATACAGTTTCCTCCCCTGTTACCTGTCCTTGTTTTCTTGGCCAAGACACTTAATTTTAAATGCCTCTCTGTATGTGTTTGGATTATTATTTGCTTCAAAGTGTGATAGGTACAATGTGGATTAAGTTTATCACAACTTTTAGAGTTAGTTTAGGGTAATTATGTCCTCTTATGTTTTTTGTTGCAAATAGCAGTCACACTATTTGCTTAACATTTTTTCCACTAAAGGTAATTTTCTTTGTGACGGAAACACTTCACTGTTTATTGCCATTTGTACCCTATTTGCTACATACGTTTCCATGTCCTCCTTTTTTCAATGTGATGAACCTTTACCCTAAAAACCTGTCGTATACAATTTGAGACATGTATTCCACCCACTTCTGGATTATCAGTGTATTGCAGGCAGTCAAAAAGCATTTTTTACCCTTTTCAAAAATGTCTGTTCCCATAAGATCAGTCACACATTTTTTGCAGGAAAGCTTTTGCAAATTTTAATGATGTTATCCCTACAACTTTTAAATTAATGTTGTAGCTTATGTTTTGAAACAATACACATTTACCTAAGAATTTATTCTTTATTTTACTGCTAAATCGAGTAAAAGAGTGTGTTTTATATTTGGTACTACAGGTGTAAAAGGTACTTTACACCTGAACAGTCATGGACCATTTCTTGCAAGTAATTTATGTCATGCCTGCCACAATTCAGCGACCCACTATTTTGTTAAATCAATAATTACCATAAAAAATTAATTTAGGGTTCTCTAATACCATAATCTTTATGGTGTGTTTGCCATTTATTTAGGTTTATTTTAAGATGTCAAAAAGATTACGGGAGAGAAAGAGAAAGTATGATATCAGATGGCAATTTAAGTGACGTAGAACATAGGATAAGGTAAATAGAAAGATGATGATGAGGATTGGACTGATTAAGCTTACACATTATTATTCAATAGCAGAATCAGTCATCAATGCTTGGGACCTCTACGGAGAGACCAGCTAAAGCAACAACTAAAAAAGAAACCTATGATTCTGTGAAGATTTCAAGCTTTCATTTTCAGGCACTTCTCTTACAAATGCAAGAATGGTCAAAATGAAAGTGTGGCAAACCACCATGGTTTCCACAAGAGACCCCAACAACAAGACCAAGCTGTATTGTTACTCTTGATTTGAAAAAGGATGGCATGGATCAGTTTCCAACATGTGGCATCTGACAGAGGTACAAGAACTGCACTAGCAATCACTGATCTCAAGTCTACTATAAAAATGTAAGGTACATATTTTAAGGGTTTCATTTTTCTGGCAACTCATTGGCAGCAGAGAGCAGAATAAATAGACAGGATTACAGGTGTGATGGATGAGATGTAATTAGGATGCAGACCAGGAGGAACAGGTGGGAACAATAGTACTGATTAAGTGCAGCACAGAGAGGAACAAGGACAGATAGGACAGAAGAGCTGAATCAAAACCACAGTAGCACCATCCATATATAATAATGTTTTAGTGTTGACTCAAGTGCCGTTTCTTTTTATTTTGTAGAATTGAAAAAAGAAATCTGGATTTTCTATCCATAATTTTTTCATAGAAAAACTAATTAAGTGTCCAAACATGTGTTTGGACAGTTGTAAAAAAACACATATGAGAGCCTGTACAAACTTTCTTTTTTTTTTTTTTTTTTTTTTTTTTATTACAGTGTCCTGTCTGGCAATGTGGCAATAAGAATAATTGTCTTGATGCCAAAAAGAGCCCAACAGATTTTACTTTCACAAGTGTAGCAGTATGGCCATTGCCATATTGCTCCACCTGTTTCATGCATATAAATTGCTTTATTATAATTATGCAGGGAGTTTTACAGTTTATATGGACACTGCAATGTAAGTAGAGCAGAAAAACAGAAGAAGAAAAGAAAAAAAAGAGAAAAGATGAAAGAAAGAAGAGATAGAGAGGAGACAATGACAAAACATTTTCAGTCTGCTTCATCACCTGTAACAAGATGTAAAAAGAACAGCACAACCGAAAGACATGGTACGAGATATACAATAAAGCAAACACCTTGAAACTATCGCTAAAGTAATATTATTAAGTCTGACATGTACTCTGTGTTACCTGAAGATATGAATGTGGGGTTTCTGTTTGGAAGTGGATCTCTGAGTACCTGGAGCCAAGCACCTGTAATTGTTTGTGAGGGTGCATGTAAAGTTTATCCATAGAAAAAATGCTCAATAGTGGTTGTGGAGAGCTGAAGATGCGCACCACCAAGAGCCAAGAGACCCGGCGCTGGACGCCTGGGTCCCTTTGGGCCCCAGGCGCCCAAAGGGACCCCAAGAGCGAAGGCACCAAGGAGGGGCCAGCCCTGGAACTCAGACCCCCACCAAGGGAGGAGGAGAGACAGCCCCAAAGGAGCCCCCAGTCACCGCCATGCCGGCGCCCTGGGGAGCCGCAGGGACGAGTCCGCGGGCTCCGCCGGCAGCCGGCCACCCTGAAGTAGGGCCGGGCACCGCACACCGGCCCCCCCACGGCAACGACCGAGAAGCCCCGGCCCCACAGAGCACCGAAACACACCCCCGCCCGCACCAGCCCCCAACACGCGGCCGAAGTGGTTCCGCCGCCCCGGCCCCCCGACGCGCGGCGGCCGCAGCCACTCCACCCCCAACCCCCCCCGCAGCCACACCCGCCGAGATCAGCGGGAACAAAGCAGCTCCACCATGCCTCCAAGTGGGAAAACCCACCCGAATACCCAATCAGCGAGGCCAGCCCATCCACACCGGCCCCCCCACACCCCCCCCGCCGGAGCCGCCCAGACCCCCACATACCAGCGGCGCGCCGTTAGCAGGATCCCTACACAACCGGGCCCGCCCGCCCCCCGACAAAACAGACATGCCAATCCCCCCCCAAAAAAATAAATAAATAAAAAAAATAAAACTTTCAAACCTGCTCTCCTCTGTCAAAATGGGTAAATCCGACCTGGCCATTCACATATTTAAAAAGATCAGATTCGTATTGGATTCAGGACCACATAGCCAAGTGGCCTGGGTTGGATTGGAAAAAAAATCAGATCTGTGTTGTTCAGACAGCCATGAAAAGATCAGATCCATGTGGGCAAAAAAATCAGATTTTGGTCACTTCAGGATGCAGTGTGAACGTAGCCATAATTACTTTAAGAAATTAGGTCTGGCCAAAATGTGAGGGTCTGTTGCATCTGTATCAACCTAGTTTTGGTTCTTTGATTGTTTTCTCCAATTGTCTCTAATCTGAGGTAATAAGAAAAATATCTATCTTTGGGATTTCATTTTCAAATGTAAACATACCATTAAAAAATGTGAAACAACAAAAAATGTTTTTCAAAATGTTCCCATATAGCCAAACAATGACCACTGTAGGGGCACAAAGATCTGAAAGGGGAAAATAATTTTTAAGGTAAAATAAATATAATGGGGTGAAAAAATGTCACACACAACAAATTATGCAATTTGAGAACAAAGAGAAAGTTTTGAGAGAACATTTGTATAAAAATGTATATAATTTTATGTTTAATTCATATTCGCTTTCAAAATCTTGGACAGTTCAAAGCAGGATTTGCTAAACTTCTTTTACTGAAACAAGGGGCTGTTCCGACCGTAAGGCCATCACAACCGCAAGCTGTAAGTATAATACAGTCGCTAAGCGGTTGATAACAATGCTAGCATATCTATGATGACCAGATTTGGGTTTCTGAAAAGTAGGACACTTTTTTGGGGTGGGGGTTTGTTTCCAGCATTGTCCAGGCTACCGTCACCGGGTCGGGTATGGTCACTCCGTCCCCCCCTGGCTCCCTGCACCAGACCAGCCCCGGAGCTCACGGCTCGGTTCTGCTTCACTGTAGTCGGCCAAAATCCTGGACGGTTTTGAAATTCACCCGGACATTTTTTTAGGTATAAAAAGTAGTTTTGTTACAGAGTTCCTTGTATATCATTATTGACTGTTTTACCTGTTTTCATGAAATTGTCATATGTTAAATATGACAATTTGGCAAATGTTATTTTTTCAGTAAAAGTCAGTTGTTACAGCATAACAGATTTAACATTTTATATATTTTCCACTGTAATCACAGTGTTATTACTGTGTGATTCTTCTGGTAATTGCTGCCTGTTGTTGGAAAATTTGCTACATACTTACTGTAAACTTCTATTTTTTTGTGAAATAGACAAAGTACCAATCTTAACTTATTTTGGCATCTAGTTACAGTCAAAACTAAACACAATTTTATATAGGCTACATGTAAATATATTCTGGGGTCAAGGGGTTAAAATTGTAGATTCTTTGTATCTGTAAAAAAGGAAACAGGAATAACTCGTCAACACACACCCTCATGTATGACTGAATAGCTTTCTCAGCTTTTTATTTATTCAGCTAAGCTGTCTTCCTCAGAGAGTAACGTTGTTGCTT